GGTTCCCAGTTGGTTTTTGTCCTTAAATCAGGTCTCATTCATCTTTTATAACCTTAGACAATACATATCAGAAGGATCCATTTAAATGGAATATTTAAAATATATTTAAATAAAAAATATTTTAAAATTAATATTTTTTAAAAATCAGACCATCCTAACAAACCATGATTCCTTACAACAGTTATCAGGTAACCTTGTCATAAACATCTTACTAAAGAATTTGCATACATACCAATTAAGTACAAACTTTACTTTCACTTTCTAATAAAAAGCAAACAAAATACATCTTATTAGATTTTTAAATACTGCCAAGGAATGTTCCTAGGCTTAAATGTTCTTTCATAGTATATACTATAATAATACAGATTATCTAAGTATCCCAAACCAAATTATTAAGTAGAACTATATGAAAGTGCTGACAGTCAACTTTACCCACAAAATGGCAATTTCATATGGTTCAAGGTAAAACGATAGTAAGCAACAGGGGGCAAAAGAAAATCTAACACCAGAAGAAATGAAAACCTAATGCTAACTCCATAAAAATACTTCAATTAATATATTGGGAAATTATAGCACTTGCCTAAAATTTAGTACCTGGCAGATGTGTCCATCAGAATTCACAGATGTCTCAGACAAGTGGTAATTTCGCAATTAACATCTTGGAAGCTAGCCTGATTCTTTCCTGATTTATTACAAATACAAATGTTTTTCATTTCTTTTAAAAAACATTAAACCACCTTGAACCCAGCTACATTGGGACCCTAAACAACAAGCTAATCTTTAGCTATAGAGAGACAGTGGTAGGCTGTTAAGTGAGTATGATGCTAAATGTTTGCAAAAACCAACTCTCCAGGGGAAAGTGCGTGCGTGCGTGCGTGTGTGTGTAATAAATTTTACTGATATAAAGGACAGGCAGCACACATACAAGTAATAATAAAATATAGGATACTCTGTTGTGAATTGCATATAGTCAGTTGATTCTGACCAAACATAGTTGCAACATCCTTGTTGAATATCCATTATCATATATGTTAACAGGTAGGATAAAAGTGAAACAATGAAGACAAAGTGCTAAACTGGATAATAGTTTTTGAATGCCAGCAGAACATATACTTGATTCCTTATGCCCCTCACATTTTAAAAGCTGTTATGAACTGAATATTTGTATCCTCACAATATTCATATGTTGAAATCCTAACCCTCCTACCCAATGTGATAGTAGGAGGTGGGGCCCTTGGGAGAAAATTAGGTTATGAGGGCAGAGCATTCCTGAATGGGATTAGTGCCCTTATGAAAAGAGACAGGAGAAAGATGATGGATCTCTCTCTGCCATGTGAAGATACAATGAAAAGACAACCATCTACAAGCAATGAAGAGGGCCTTCACCGAAAACCCAATCTATGGCACCTTGATCTTGGACTTCCCAGCCTCCAGAACTGTGAGAAATAAATGCTTGTTGTTCAAGCCACCCAGGCTATGGTCATTTGTTAAGAGCTCAAGCTTACTAGGCAATGGCTATAGACACTAGACACATTTAATAGGCATTATTAGCATTTTCTCCATCACTTTTTAAAGTCTATAGACAAGTGACAAAACATAAATCAAGCCCTGATTTGAATTTTCTGAATTCTTTGGTGTAAATACTACCACAATGACTTATTGCAAGTGACCAAAATGAAGCCTATGAACAAAGAGTTGGGAAGAAATGAAAACACACCATTTTATGTGTGTTTATATATACACAATAGATGGTAATAACCTGAAGTGTATAAACTCTAGTAGCATGCAATAAAATAAATAGGAAATAGTGAATCTGAATGAGTATTTATTACCTTTGTTTTTAATATCATTATTTAATTGTATACATACATAATTTGGTATTTAATACTATCTGTGCTTAACAACTGGCTTGCAAAATTCCTGACTGCCTCTTGTGAATAGATAGAAGCAGCTCCATCACCACTGGAAAATTAAAAAAAAAAAAATCCCAATTCTAAAGTATACATTGCAGCTATTAACTACTCTATTGCCATCATAACTAAAGAAAGCAATGTCTATTTTCTAGCCTATAACAGTAGAGTAAAGTGACTGAAGTTTATCTAGGTTTTTCGGTGTTAGAACTAGGTCCAACACTAGACACAAGATTCTCATTTATTAAAATAGTAGCAACAACTTTATAATTCTTTGTTTTAGAAATGTATTCTGAGATATTTCATAGTTAAAGATGTTAAGTAATTAAACCCGAACATATAAAGGTAACTGTGTAAACTTGCAAGAAGAATATAAGTGCCTCTAGAAAACCAAAAATTTATCGGGTACCTGGGTGGCTCAGTCAGTTAAGGGTCCAACTATTGATTTCAGCTCAGGTCATGATCCCACAGTGACTGAGTTTGAGCCCCGCCTCAGGCTCTGAGCTGACCAGCACAGGGCCTGCCTGGGATTCTCTGTCTGTGTCTGTCTCTCTCTCTCTGCTCCTCCCCTGCTTGTGCTCTTTCTCTTTCTCTCTCTATCTCTCTCTCCCCGTCCCTCCCTCCCTCCGAAAATAAATAAACTTGAAAAAAACCCCAAAAATTTGCCATCTGACCATTTATAATAACGTATTTTAGAGGTACATGAAAGTCATTACTGTAGAATCTCTCTAAGTCAAATCTTGCCTCTGGATATTTAAAAGGAGTTAGGTAACACAAAGGCCAATAAAAACATGTTTAAAAAGGCCTAATCTTATTCCATGCTTCAGGGTGTAAACTGATCAGCTGAAGAGCTGGGAAGGAAGAGCTGACTGCTCTCCCTATTTGCTTTCTGCCCGGCATATGTAACATTTCACAAGTGAAAGGTGAATGACAAAGGCAATTTCAACTTAGCTCTGAAGTATAAAGATCTACTGATAGGATAAAAGAACTGAATGATGGATGGTATCAACTCATTAGCTGTATTCCACATCCAAATATTTTCTCCTGAAGCACAAAATACTGGCCTCCAAGATCCATCTGTTCTTAATTTCTACTCTAATTGCACTTCATGAAAATGAAGCTCAACCCAGACTGGTGGAAGCCACGCTCCCTCTGCCATATGCATTCCGCTTCTCTTTGCAAATACAGTGATACTTGAAAACAATGCACTTTCTTGCTTCTCTACAGTAAGTACCAGCTTCGGGATAAAAAAAAATTGATCTCCAAATCATGGAATTTCATTTCATATGAAGAAAAGAATAAGAAATAAGATTAAAGACAGACTTTTACTTTAGTTGCCATAATTTTAAAAATAGGCATTGGGGGCTCCTGGGTGGCTCAGTCAGTTAAGCGTCTGACTCCTGACTTCGGCTTATATCATGATCTCACGGTTTGTGAGTTTGAGCCCCACATCAGGCTCTGTGCTGACAGTGTGGAGCCTGCTTGGGATTCTGTCTCCCTCTCTCTGCCCCTCCCCCACCTGCTTGCTCTCTCTCACTCGCATTCTCTCTCTCTCTTTCTCTCTCAAAATAAAAAATAAACTAAAAAAAAAAAAAAAAAAAAAAAAAAAAAAGAATACAGGGGTTGTTTTTAAAACAAAGTATTTGTGACATCAGTTGTAACCAACTGGTCATCCTATAACATTTCCAGCCATTAAACTCTTCAAAATACAATTAAAAAGAAAAAAAAAGAAAACAAAGACATACATAAAAAATAAAATATTTCCAGTCAGCACCAATATTCCAGATAATGATAGAACCATCAAACTGTAGTGGGAATATTTTAGATTAGATTCTTCTTCTTGTCAATGTTTTTTTATAAAGCGTTTTATTTTGAATTATTTATTTATAATTTGTTTTGCTTTTAAAAAAATTTATGGTAACAGTTATATCAATGCGTAAGTCACTCAATAAAACCGACCTTTTCATTTGGTTCTATTTAATGACTAGACACTCATTAAGAAACTACAATAATGGAATGGCTCAAAAATACACCAGAGAAAGTTTGCTAATAGTGAGCTCTCTTCCAGCCAACGCTTAATTTTAACACTAAGTCAGAAAACTCAGTTTCCAGAAATGGAGTAGCTAAGTTAGAATTCAGTTTAGACAATTCATTTAGTCCACCTTTTCCAGGGCAAAATATCTTACACTATTCTGTACATACAGATGAGGGCAATGAATTAGAAGCTCCCTTATCTACTCATTTCTCTTGGTACCAAAAAAGACCAGGGGTGGGATGACAGAGAGCTGGTTTTACCAGCCCAATGCTTAGCAACACTTTCACCATGCTTTCATTCTCAGACTTCATTGAAATTAGCTTCTCCCTCCTCAGATTATACCCAACCATGAAATGTATTTGAAACAAAAACAATAATACAAAAGATATTTTACAGAAAAATCTGCCAAATGCAAGAGTATAAACAAGACACAGTGCCTTTCCTATTACTATATAATGGGGTTAAAATCCTACCTTGAATAATTATTCTCATATCTAACCATCATGATCATATAACTAAAGAACAGACAGACTTTTTTGTAGTCCTAGACTTCATTAAGTAATAAATATTAAGCCTTGGATAAATGATCATTTATAGACTGGACGCCATCTCACATACCAAGCAAACACTGTATGATATTAGAATTCAGAGCATTTATCATATCTTAGTCTATCATCCTAATTCTGACAAACCCCCAAGTCTAAAGCATATTCCTTGATATACTCAAAAATCTACAAGTTTGATGACTCATCTGAAATATTCAGTTGTTTCATCATTGCGTTATTACCAAACCAACTCAGTCAATCAGAATAGATATATATGAAGCAAGCAAGGCATCTTGGCATTTGCAGCCTTAGTAACTGCTGAAATCTTTCCAACAGGACTGCAAACCTGCCCAACTGGATAAAAGTGTCATTAGGAAATGGCAGTGGCATATGAACTTGAGGAAAGAAGAAATATGGTGAAGAGTAAAAACAACAGAGGACACGAGATGAAGTAAAGGTAAGAGATGGAATGAGGTAAAAGAGTGAGGCAAATGCTTGGCCCTGCATTACCATTATCAGGGTTGGTAAACATCCTACTTGCACTGGAGACTGTCTTCCCAATGTCAGCCAGGGATCGAAGGTTGGATTTCTTGGTTTGATGCCGGTGCTTCCGGAGCAAAGTATAGGTCACCTTATCCTTAAGGTCAGGTTTCAATAGGCCTGTCTCAATCTGATGGTCAACAATCATCTCTGATACAAAAAAGAAAAAAAAAAAGGCAAAACAAAAACAAAAAGCAAAACTCAGTCACAAGATCACAAAGTTACTTTTTACTCCAACTTTATGGATGTCATCCTCAAATTTTATATCAATATACTATTTTCCAAATTTCCAACCTCCCACTTTATATGAAGGGTAAAGATACAGGACACACAGATTCTAGCATTAATGAGAGAGTTATAAATATTCCACTATGAATTATATGTTTGGAGAGAAAGAATCGTCTTGTCTTTTTTCAATCCCAGTTAATAGTGAATTCACATTAATCACATTCTTCTATGAGTAACACACTAAGTCAGTAATTTACATTTTTTCAATTAGGTAAAAAAGAGTAAGATTAGAAAATTCATGTTCTCTATCATAGCAAGTATGCCAGAAATACAAGTGATATTTAAAAAAACTTGCGAATATGCAAAATTTAATGTAGTGACATTATTGAATTTTAGATCTGTTTTCCCAAATCCTTCTGTAATGATATATTTTCCTTAAAATAGGACGAAGTAAAGGAAGACAATACTCTTCCCCATATCAGGTTATGCGAACACTAATTAATCCAATGAAAGAAAGACTAAACTACAAAACTGCCTTCGTCTTTTCTAAGAAGGGAGGCTTATTCTTCTTTTGGATCCAACAAAAGGATTTCCAATATATTCCACTAATCATTTTAAAATTTAACCTGCCCAGAATTTTCTATGAAATTTTCACCTTACTACAAAAAAGTTATAATTTCTATTAGTTCTTGTTTTTAGAATGGCTTTAATTGGAAAAGATAACTGTGTTTCATAGAAACTGCTCCATGGGGAGCTCTGCTAATGGACAAGATTTACTCTAAAGGAAGTAAAGTCTTCCTTTAGAGTAAAAGTCTTTCTCACAAGTCAGCACGTTAGCAGCATGGTAGAAATGCAGCCTGGTCACCACAGGCCAACATTTCCTCTGTCCAGAACAGCGCACGGGACAAAACATCACAAGATATGCAGTGGTAGGACATTACCTCACTCACTGTATGCACGTACTGCTTTTGTCCCCTCTCTAGAACCAGAAAGAACTATGGATTCCATGCCTACCTTTTACCTTTCCAGGTATATGAGTGCATCTAGCACACTTCAACATTTTCCGCTTGGGCAAAGTTCTCAGTATAGAAAAGTGAAGAAGAGAAGAAAAGCTCTTCTCTTGCAAAAGACTGACCAAAAATTGATGGGAACTGGAAGGGTAACGCCTCCTAAGCACTGCTATCTCTTTGAAGTCACAGATGTTCCAGGGGCTCTGCCTGGGCATAACTGCACCACTCAGAGGACCATCTTACTAGCAAGCACTCACAGAACGACCTCACAACCTATAGCTAGAAACTGACAACTTACACAGTATATAATCAACTTAGAAGCCAAGCAGAGGCTGACTCCTGAATTTTCCATTACATGTCTTATACAAATGCCATAAACGTCACATAACACTGGGCCACTTGGTGGGGAGCTTGGGCAAGGCAGGAAGAGTTTCTCCCATAGGAATGTTTTGGTTTGAGAGTGGCCTTTAGCTCTGAGTGGTTTTAACTGTACAAACCCTTCTCAGTGAAACTCTCAGAACTGATCCTATAATTATACAGTTAACCTTCTGTTCCATAGTAAAGTAATTAGGTGCTACTCCTCTACTATCCCTTTAAGTCTTGTTCACTGCAGAAGGTCCATTTGACAGAAGAACCATAAAAATAAGCAAACGGCCCCAGCGTATTTGTGGCACATGTTATCAAGCTCCTACTCTAATTCCAGGGTTGTGGATTAAAGTGTTTCTTATCTACCCTTCCTGGCAGGGCCTCCCTCTGTGCCTGCCTTCCCTTGTAATCTCAAACCTATGCATACATATGCACAGCCAGCCCTCTGTTACTAATGCCTGGAAATCACCAGTTAGAACAGGTTAAGACATCTGTGTGGCTTATGTCCTTCATTACGTTTCCATAAAACAGCCCACATTACAGGGATCTTTTTAAGTACAAACTACAAAACCTTTCAAGGAAAGTGGGGGCAGTAACATTTAACAGCTACACTGAAATTAAGCCTTCAGTGTTCAAAATCCCACAACCACTACCATTTGGGAGGGAACGTGCCAACCACAGATGATGGCAGAGCTGAAAGAGAACTCAGGAAACACCAAGTTCAGCCTCTTGTCACACAGATTTGGGAAAAGAGGGGGCAAAAGAGGTGACTCGCTCTCAGGAGAAGCCCAACTAGAGGTGCAGCTGCCCAAGTGAAACCAGGTTCTCTGGACTCACACTTTACATCGTTCCCCATATCACACAGTGGCTTTCTCCATTTTAAAAAATAAGCCCTAGGAGCGCCTGGGTGGCTCAGTCGGTTACATGTCTGACTTCGGCTCAGGTCATGATCTCGCGGTCTGTGAGTGTGAGCCCCACGTCGGGCTCTGTGCTGACAGCTCAGAGCCTGGAGCCTGTTTCAGATTCTGTGTCTCCCTCTCTCTCTGACCCTCCCCCATTCGTGCTGTGTCTCTCTCTGTCTCAAAAATAAATAAAAACGTTAAAAAAATTAAAAAATAATAAAAATAAAAAAGCCCTAGACCCAAGACAACAGTCAACAAACAAACAAACAAACAAACAAAAACCTGATATATGCACGGGCTTCTGCAAACCAAGAGAATGGTGGTGTTCGTGCAACAACAACAACAAAAAATGGCCAAAAGTGATAAACATTTTTTTTAGTTTTATTTATTTATTTTGAGAGAGAGACAAGAGAATGAGCAGAGAGAATGAGCAGACAGAGAGAAAGAGAGAATGAGCAGAATGGAGCAGAGAAAGAGAGAGAGAGAGAGAGAGAAAATCCCAAGCAGGCTCCGCACTGTCAGCACAGATCCCGGCGTGGGGCTCAAACCCACCAACGGCAAGATCATGACCTGAGCTGAAGTCTAAGAGTCAGATGCTTAACTGACTGAGCCACCCAGGCACCCTGATAAACATTTTCAAATGAAATACAAGGTCCAAGAAACATTAAACTTCAAGACTAACAAAGGTAATTTATAAATATAACCAATTATGAGATTTTACTAATCTACCAAAGTGGCCAAATGTATATATGAATGTGAAAAGTGGGTGCCACAGGGAATATTCCACATCCTGAGGGTGATGGTAATAACTAGTACAACCTTTCTTGAAGGCCACTCAGCAAATACGTAAACAAAACCCTTCCATACATTCAAACTCTCTGAATATTTCACCATTAGAAATCTGTACTAAAAAATAAACAATTTCACACAACAAAATGTTCGCTTATTCATTACAATAAAAATGTGAAGGCAACTTAAATGCCCAATAATAGATTATTAAATATTTTGCAGACATCAAAATCATGTTCACATATATATTTAATCACATGGAAAGAAATTTGTGTTAAGTTTTTAAGTTAAAAAGGGCAGATCAAAGTGTTACAGTATGATCCCATTAGTAAAATAAATTTCATAGGCGTAAACGGAGATGTACAAAGACTGCTGTGAATGGTGGAATTTTGATTTTTGTGTGCTCTATTTTTCTGGATTATTTCACAATGAACATGTATTACTTTTGTGATAAAAAATACATTGCCATTTGGAAAATCTAAAAGGTGTTAAAAGCAAGGAACGACATGACTAACACATCTGCCAACACGTACAGCCCAGCAATGCCTTTAAATATAAAAATGAGAACTCCAAAAATAGATAGAGCTACATTTTCCTAATCCATTTCCCATCATAATACAATACCTGAAATGGCTTATGATTTTTTTTAACTTAGGAGGGTAGGAAAATCCTCATGCAGTTGCCTTCATGTGGGAATGACACTCTTTCATTGTAGGACTATAATGATGATAGTAATAATCAACCTATCAAAATAATCCATGTAATGTTTTATCCTTTAATTATTTTAAAGGCAAGTATTTTTCTTAGCATTCAAAGGGGTTCTCCATGAAGAAAACAAGGAGAGGTCCTGAGGAGAATCAGAACTAGGCTGAATGCTGTGTGTAAGTATGAGAAGCGACACCTGCTTAAACAGTCACATGGTGATAGCTTTGCACCTGCAGAGGGAGGATGCCTCTCAGAAGCAGGCCACTGAGAAGAAGGAGCAGGTGGACTGCAAAGAAAGATAAAAATCATGCTGTTGTTTGTTTGATATAATCACACCCACTATTATTTCTTTCACTTCTCCTTTGTGGAGATAAGGGGAGGAGGGGAGAGGCATCTTAGAGACTGAACTGTACATAATTCACAACTCTGAATTATCAGCACAACGCAGAACAAAACAGTGGCTTCACCTTCTGCTAGAAAAGGATGTTGTAATAACCAAATAATGGCAATAATTCTTCAAGTTACTGTGCCATCTTCTGTCATTTAAAGCAAAATTAGGGCACTTTTTTCTTCATGCTGTTTAACCCTCTGTAATGTTTTGATTCTTCGAGGATTTCTAAATATTTTTTTTCAGCCAGGGACACTCTTCCAAACACACTCTTCCTCCACCCCTGCAAATTTGATCCTTTTCTTCCCGTCCCCACCTTTCTCCCTTCCTTCCTTCCCTTCCTCCCTCCCTCCTTTCTTTTGCTGGTAATGTATGTTATTTGCCTCTGGATTGCTTTTCTGTATTATCAGCTCCAGAATGAGTGATGGTACTTCAAAGTGACATGGTGGTGCCTAATTTTACAATTTAATGACAATTTTTAAAAGTAAAGAGATGGTGGTTAGGGAAAAAGTCCACAACTGATAATAAAAAGTCATGGAAAACTAAAGTGAGAACATAAAATGCTTAATGAACCTTCCTTAAGTCTAGTGAATACCAGAACCTCTTTCTTTGGCCAGTGGCTAAACAAGGCTCCAATATAATATGGGATTCTGTCTCCAACTGCATGGAAAAGATCAGTCAGTTGCCAAAGATCAGAAGCTCCTTAGGATGGTTCCTTCTAGTACTAAAGATCCTGAAGACAGTTTTATAGAAAAGCCCAAGTTCTACTGTAGGACTTACTTTCTTACTTACTGGAAAGTTTCTAGTGACCCTTAAACCATAACACATATTCTCCTCCGAGACTGTATATATTGCCTAGCCACAAGCTTAATTCCCATTTTATCCAGCATTTATGCATTCTGACTTATTTTTTCAACTTGTCTAATTTCAGACATCTTTGCTCCAGATTAGTTCTTAAAGTCTGAAAACACAGAAATTGCAGTTCTCACTCAAAAACTGGACGGATTTTTGCTAACCATGATATTTTTTTGAGTAACAATCTCCCTTGCAGCAAAACAAATCACCCAGAAAACCATCCCTTCTGTTTGCTTCTGTCTTTGTAGACAGGCTCTTGTTCCCTGGGTACAAAAATCCAAGATCTCTCCAGATAACCATTTTCAGCCTCACTTGCCTGGTCATATGTGAAAAATTCCACATGCAGCATTATTTCCTACATTATTTTCTAACCTCTGTGAATGTGGATTTGTAACTTATCTCATGTACAAAGTGAGAGATTTGCAAACGTAATTCCAGGGCCTAGAATAGTGTCTGGCACACTGTAGAAGTTCATGCACCACTGCTGAATAAATGTAGGAACTAATTAATTCTGGCCACCCCATATGAAGACATATTTACACTTCCCCCTTCTCCACGTGTACCTTAAAGTGTCTCAGGTTCATGAAAAGTGTGGGACTTCTTTGCAAATGGAGCTAACAAGCTCTCTGAAGAAGAATCAGATACATATACATCAGTAAGATATATGCCTCATTTGACAACTAACCTTTTCTTCCAATACAAATGCTATAGCTTTCCTACTATCTTGCTAAAAAACAACAACAACAGAGATGCCATAGACAAGCCTTTTGGCTATAGATATTCAAAGAAATTTTGTGGTGAGTCTGATATACAAGAATTTTATACTGGTCACTTTCTGTGGGGCCACAATCCATGCTGTCTTCCCCATATATCCCAAATGAGGCACCCTGCAGCCCACTTGGAAAAGTGTAGTCATCCATATAGGTCCAGAGGACATCTAGTTATTGAATTTTCCTGGGAATGACAAACAGAGCCCCTGTATCTCATTTTGAGAAAAACATGATCTTCAGTACCCCTAGATCTGTAGGGTAATAAGGCAGTTTAGGCCAGGCTTTTGTTAGAAAATGAAAACAATTACTACTGTTTGGAATGTAGTGATGTGTGCTCAAGGCGTTCAACGTAATGAGTTAACATTCACTACACAGCACTAATCGCAAAAGATACCAATGCACCAGGAGGTTCAGTGACTTGCTGGTGGGTGTATAAATGATACTCAGCACCAATGTGACAGGACCAGTCACTAGCCCATGTGGCTAGTACATGCGGCTGCTGGCTCCTTGCTCCCCACAACCTTTCTTACATATAGTTAAAGGATCTTGACTTCCACCTACAAAATTAGTCCCAACCCAGCAACTAGACTATTTTCCTTCTGACATAGGACATAAACCCTATTTTACGGATGATGAAACCGAGGCCCAGAGAAGCTCAGTGCAATGTCTAAGGTCAGAGTTCTAGAAATCTAGTCTCCATACTTCCAGTCCAATATAACCAAGGATAGGAGCAGGGAGCCTCCATTCTAAATATTAACCTTCCACTAATAAGCGAGGGAAGTGAATGAAGATCTGTACATACACATTTTGATCCCAATAAAAATAATGTGAAAAATTAAAAGCATAAAAGAGAAGACTGAGAAATAAAAACTGGATAGAAACATGCCAAAATGCTAACGATGGCTATGGAGGCACGATGGATGATTTTTTATTTTCTTCTCAATATCTGCCTATATTTTCCAAACCTGCAACAAACCTTACTAGTTTTATAGTATAAAAAAAAGAGAGAAAATAAATGTTATAGAATTCATCTGCATTAACGGACACCCATGGACAGGTTGGTAGAGCTAAAAAGATGATAAAAACTTTAAACAACATACTTACCCACCAACTGTGGAAGAGAAGAAGCCTCCCTGTCAAGCATGATGGATCCTTTCTCCATACATGTCCTCAGCTCAAATAAGCTGTGAAGGGATAATGTGGCCACATGGGGCTTGCTCCATCTTTCCCCACCCTGTTCCACTTTTTCTTCAAATTTAATCCACCTAGGAACATGAGATTAGTGAGCAGCAATTAAAAGTATTCTAACCTTCTCTGGAAATAGCTACACCAACCCCTCCATCTCCACCCCCACCAGCACTTCCAAAATGTCTCCTTTGATGGAGTCTTAAAAGCTTATTATATCGTTAATTGCATTACCTTTATGAATACACCAAACAGAGTCATTAGACTGCTCCTTCACATGGCGTTAGAGGGAAAGAAGATAAACCAAAGGGATCTAAGAGCATCCTTGGTTTCCCACCTGTCTATACATAACCATGAAATCCTTAAGAATGATTATTTTACTAGATTTTTAAAATAACATAGGAAAATGTGCATTTCAAAATTCTCCATGAAAGCCTACACTATGTAAAAATAACCACCGTTGTGAGAATTCTGTTGTGACTTCACAAGGCAAGTTTCTATAAGGTGAAATATCAATTATGAACCAGTATTTATCTTAATTATTTGAAAAATATGGTGTATGAAGTGGTCAGATGAATATAAAATTCCCCTTTAGTACTTAAAGAGGGCCAGCATATGTTGCTATGTCTTACTTTGTATTTTTCTGCTGACACATGTTCCCTTCTCATTGAGATTCTAATGGAAGCTTTTCTCTTCAAGTCTGGCTTCACATGTTTAAAAATACACAAGTTCAGTGAACACATCTATTCTGATAATAATAGATCTCCTATAAACCTTAGCAATGGAACAAACAACCCACTGTCTTTCTAAGACTCCTAGATATTTTGATAACTTAGCAATATACAAGCAACTTTTTAAAAGTTTAATGGAAATGAAAGCAAAACACATTTGACTGTCTGTATATCCCACATATTACACATACAGACTTTTTCTACACTAGTAAAGGAGAACATGAAAGCATCGTCAGTTTGCTATTCATTATGACCCAAAGAAAAATGCTTCTTTCTCTCAATTCAAACCTTCTGAAAGATATTGAAAAAGATAAAGAGGGGGTTAAAAAAACTGTTTTTCTACATTCTTCACCCAAAGGTTTAATGATTGAAAAATGTTTTCCTAGAAAAAAACTAAACGCTCACCTAGCACACTAAAGATGAGAACAAAGGGCAGAGATCAGAGGAAGCTCTACATAAGGTATTATTTATAGACTGCTCACCACCCCCCAGAGGAGGAAAAAAAACACATTAGTAGAACCAGGAGTGAAAACAGATCAAGAGATCAACCACAGAGTCAGAGAAAATTTAGAATTTTAATCAAGCCCAATACTCACATGATTCACAAGTATTTTAGCCACATCCAAAGACTCTCTGTCTCTACTCCTCTCAGAAAGTCCCTCCTAGCCAGAGAACTCCCACATGTCAATGGTAACCTTATCTCCAACCTCACCCTCAATTCCAAGACCCGCTCCCTTTCCTCTGTGTCCCCCATAAATGTAAACAGTGGAGATTTTTACATATTTTCCTCACAAGTTAAAAAGCCCACATCACCACCAAAGTTCTAAAACTTCAGAACTGGGCCTTGTTTCTTTCCATAAAAGTAGTTGTGAAACATTCCAAGACAGAATACAAGAACCTTTAATATTCATGTGCATGTGTTGTGTGTGTGTGTAATTAACTTAGTAGTTCTTCCCTTAAGCTGCTATTAGTACTACAGAAATAGAAAGAATGAAAGAAAAATGACAATTTTACATCACACTCTTATAGAATCCTATGAATTTGCCTAAAAGATAAAAGGTAATTGGGTTATTTCAAAAGTAATCATTTTACAGAGTATGTTACATTGGTTAACTTTAGGTATATTATCTTTTCAGGCTTGCTCACACAATCTTTAACTATGTTTGTTGATACGTGTTACATAAATCATACTTACATTTTTAAAATAATTTTGAAAAGGGGATGGAGGGTTGGGTTAAACAGGTGATGGGGATTAAGGAATGCACCTGTCATGATGAGCACAGGGTGATGTATGGAAGTGCTGAATCACTATATTGTACACCTGAAACTAATATAACACTGTATGTTAACTAACTGAAATTAAAATAAAAACTTAAAATAATTTTGAAGAGTATTTTTGTTGAAGTATAATTGGCATAAAATATCCTAATAATTTCAGGTGTATATTATAGTGAATCATATTTACATTTGATGTTATGATTTATTACCCAAGCTAAGGCTCTAGTATATTAAAAGACTCCATAGTATATAAAACCGTGTCAGAATTACATATAAGGATGTTATCTATAGGAGTGATTCCTTGTTTTTATTCCCAAGAGAATTCTTAGTAGCTGAGGAGAGAATCTTTGGTTATGGGATGTAAACCCAAGATAAATAACAAAAGCCAGCTAGAAACTCAGTAAAGGGGACTCAGTAAAGGGGAGTGTTTTAGACAGCCCTCAATTCCCTCTTATTTTTATTGAATGAGTCCCTCTTCCTATCAGTTGCCATAGATCTGTATTGCCAAATACATACAATGTGACAGTGGCTCTTTTCTGCCATCATTCTCAACTGTCCAAACTATGTAAGTTTATTTTTTTATATGCACCCCTATGTTAATTGCAGCATTATTTATAGTAACCAAGATATAGAAATTGGGATACATGATACAAGGTACAAATATATATATAATAGTGATATATGATTCTGTACATATGAAACTGTGGCAATATCATATATACATGATATAAATATAATATATAATATATAATGGAATATCATTCATCCATAAAAATAATGAAATCTTGCCATTTGAGACAACATGGATGGACCTCAATAGCACTTTGCTAAGTGAAGTAAGTCAGACAGAGATAGACAAATACCATACGATATCTCTTTTTTTTTTTCCACGTTTTTTTTTTTTTTATTTTTGGGACAGAGAGAGACAGAGCATGAACGGGGGAGGGGCAGAGAGAGAGGGAGACACAGAATCGGAAACAGGCTCCAGGCTCTGAGCCATCAGCCCAGAGCCTGACGCGGGGCTCGAACTCACGGACCGCGAGATCGTGACCTGGCTGAAGTCGGACGCTTAACCGACTGCGCCACCCAGGCGCCCCTTTTTAAATTTTTTTTTCCACGTTTTTTTTTTTTTTACGATATCTCTTATATCATATGGCATATCTTACCATATGGTATCATATGGTATGATATCTCTTATATGTAGAATCATAAATATATAAATATAAATAAATATAAATATAAATATAAATAACCAAGCTCATAAATACAGACAATAGATTGGGAGTTGTCAGAGGTGGGAAGTGAAAGATAGGAGAAATGGATGATATAAGTTTAATAAAAATTTCTTAAAACAAACAAAAAAAAAGGATCAAAACCCGTGCACTCTTTTGTGACCAATCTTTTATTTCACTCCTCTCCACAGTTTGTATTGTAGGTCACCTGATTAGACTTAAATATGACTTTAAACAAGTTTTAAAAGTACATTTAGAATTATAAATCCCAACCAGCTGGGATTTATGGAATAGCATTAGTCACCCTCCCGGAATACACCAGCCCTTTAGGTCAAGATTTAATCACAAATGAATGAAAATGTAAAATCTCAAAACTAGCCAGTTCCCTAGAATCTATGTTCCTAAGGGATAAGTATGATCTCATAGTTCAGTTTAGCTTCTACTCCACTTTGAGTTCAGTAAATATTAAAGGCTGTGATGATGTCATAGCATAGCTAAGGACATAAGGAAAACTCTAGGATAATGACTATTAAATTCCTTCAAAATCTATTGTTCTGATTGTTCAAGGAATCGAGTATATTTCCAACATATGCCTTCAGACATAAAGTAATAGTTTGCCCATTTAAACAGATTGTTCACATATAGTTTCATCCCAGAAACTACACATGCTATGTCTATCCTCTTCACATTATCAAGGACAAATTTGAAAAAAAAAAAAAAAAAAAAAAAAAAAAAACTGAAAACTACTCAATTCAAATCAGAACCCATTAAAGAAAAGGCTAAGGCAAAGGTGCCAAAGTTCAGCCTATCCGAATGCCAATGAATTTGTTAAGGTGTCCCAGAACCATGTAATTACATTTTTTTTTAAAAAACAGACATTTTTATTATAAAATGTACTATAAGCTACTATCCACCCTTCATAGTAACTGTGCATAACAATATATTTGCAATAAAGTTTCCTACTTTTCCTTTTGTCTTGGTACTTGACATGTTATAGGAAAATTTATTTCAGAAGTTAGATCTTTAAATGCTTGCAATTACAAAACTGTTGTAACCTTGCAGGAAGAGTTTCTTAGGTAAAGTTTATTTATTCCAAGGCTGGAAGAGAAAGAAGATGAAGAAGATGAAGAAGAAGGAGGAGGAGAAAGTACACTCAGTTGAATGTACTTTGAGTGACTGCCAACCAAACAGTATCTCTCTCGTTTATTGAAGAAAAGAGAAGGCCCACTGGGAATCACTGAATTTTGCAACTTTCCAATCATATGATTAAATGTAATTAAGAAAAGACAAGACCTCTAACTTATATGCATGCCAATTTAACAGTGGAAAATAGATGTGACCTTTGTCCTAGAATATAATCCAACTATATAAGACTATTAAAATAATAAATTTCTTGCTAACTAATAAGTGCCTCATTACACCAAAGAAGCCAAGGCTAGTATGTATCTGGGATAAATTATGTTTTTAAGGAGACCTCTTAAATTTCTAGATCAACTGTGAAAGTTACTGCAAAACAGTGTATGTAACTACAATTACATAGATGATTAGATTCCTTTTCCTTCAGCCTTGTTACAGAAGAAATAAACTTGTTCTGAAATGGAATGTTCCAAAGTAATCCAGTAGAGAAAAGACAGAGAAGTCAGTATATACTGGGAAGAGAGCAGTCTCTCTCCACACCCGCATGGTAAGTGCACATATCTATGCTTGATGGCCATGCCCTATAATCAGGTTTTCCAAAGATAGACTGGGTCAGTATGCCAAGTAGAAACACAAATGGGTGTTCATTTGTGCTGTCCCACTGGAAGTAAAACATCAATACCCTTTTCCTCTGTTGGCTGG